AGACACGCTGTCTATTGTCTTTGTCTTCTCCTATCCTTTTTTTTGTGTGAAACTGTGCGTTACCATTAAACACGCTTTTTATTACGAACCTCGTGTTTTTGCTCGTAATTTACGTTACACAATAATTTTGATTTGTCGGAGAAAGAAGTTTCTGTTTCATGAGCCAATTGTTATTATAAAATATAGAATCTGATGCGATGCTTTACGCGATAATGATGGTCTCCCGATGCATTTTTTCATTTTATTTAATTTTTGCAAATTTTACGTTTCTTTTAAAAGCGTGGATTTTAATGGATTACAGCGGCATGATATTTAAAATTAACGTGAAACAACAACTTACATCATTACGAAGTCGTATTAGACTGTAGAGCGTTAATTATAGATGAATATTAAATTTCTGCAAATAGTGAAGCGCGCGCCAGAGATAGCTTCCATCTTCCTTTCTAAGGGGCGATTTCATTTTCGTAGACGTGGAAACTTTAAAGGCGAGCCAGAAACGTGGCCCAAACCATGTACGTGGTCGCGTATCGAGTGAGGAAAGCAAGAGGTCGGTAAAGAGGGCTGAAGCGGCCCTCTCACCCACCTCCTCCCTCGAGCGATGAAACTATAAAGCCACTCCTAGTAAGTTGTAAAATTGTAATAGCCTTCCGGTATTTACATAATGCTACGGCGTAATAAGTGGAACTCGCCGAGTTTCCATTACCATTCCACCGCTATCCGCACTTATCTCTGCTAACGACCCGAGGGGGCCCTGCTCTCCCGCGTTCTTCTCGCGACTTGTATTTTTTCCACCTTATTCTTCGTTGGGCTATCCATGACGAGAAGCGGCCCACTCCGTCATGCGTCGTCTGCGACTCCATCTTTTGTTCGCGTCGCGCCTTTGCTAAAATTCACCACTTATTCCGCTAGCAGCTATAAGTTGATTCTCTCTACTATGCTAAACGCACGGATTTATTCCGTAATAAGCCAACAATGATTGACAGCTGGGAAATGGGCATCTATCTGTTTTTCATTCATATCGCATGATAATTAAAAATGCAAAACAGGTTATTGTCTCTGTCTTGAGAAAAAATAAACTTGCATGTATAATACTTGTTTATACATGAGACAGAAGTTGAACAAAATTCTAAAAATTCCAAGTATTCTGATATCGTACATGATATTAGTAGTAATCAACAAAAAGCATTCCTTTTATTACATACGTAAGTCAATAAGTATAATCTTTATACCACCTTGATTTTTTAGAACAAAATTAAGGTTACTTGTTGACTCACTTATCGAATTATTTTATGTTTCACTTCATTTTTGAACTGTTAATAAAACTGTTTATTCTGTATAACAAATGGGAACAATGAAAATTTCGATAGAAGTCTACTTAGTTTTCACAACAATGTACTCATTACGCGGTTAGTAAAATGCAAAACTAGATTTCGTTTGGTGGAGAATATGAGGAAAGCCGAAATCCTGCTTTCACTGAAGAAGAAGAGGGGAAGCTGCAGCGGTTTCATTGGAATAAGTGGCCTCCTTGGTTAAAAGTTCGCCTTCTTCCGTCGCTTCTCTCCTTACCTTGTCCATTCATGATAACATCCTTCTTTATTCCCGAGTACTTTTCTCCCTCTTTCTCTTTGCTATTTTCTCCTTGCGATGAGGCTCTCACCGACGAAATCGAGGCGAATCGTTTATTTAATTTTCGAGAGATCCTGCCATTTTATTTTTATTCTCGGGACTTTATACACTTCGTTGATTAACCCACCTCGCGTAAGAAACCAGCCTCTCTTATTCCTTTCTAGACAAGGACGTCGGAACGAAGAAAGCTGCGAGTTTGCATGAGATTTTGAAGAAGGGTTAGAGACGGAGAACGAGAGCGGGGAGGGCTCGAGTTCAGGAGCGCGCAGAGTAGAAGGACTCGCGTCCTCCCGGGGGTTTACGTTACTCACCGGATATAGAGATGTCTAAGCCCAGCCATCACTGAAATTGCCAGAGTTTACCTCTTCCGCCCTTTCCGCTGCGCTCCATCTTCCTCTCCTATCTTTCTTTCTACTCCGATTGTGCTTTCCTTTTCTCAGCGTGGAACTTCCGCCCGTAAAATGTTCGACTCCTGCCTTTCATTCCCCGGCTCGTTCGCTCGCGGCTTTATTACAATGCGATTGTATTATCAAGATTTCAAGACTAAAAGTATCGGTCTTTCTCTGAGCTCTTCTCCTTTCAACTTCCTTAAGCTTCTCATATTAATCCACCTTGTCGGAGCTGATTTCACGGAAGAATCGATGAATTCTCTTTATCAAATTATTTCACAACGTTTATACGAATTTTAATGATTGTATTAGTTCAGTTATTATGCTATTGTTTTTATTTTACTTGATCCATCAGGTACTATAAATAAATTTTTCTTCAAACTTTTATTTATGCAAATATATTCATACACGCATGTATGCGCCATGTACACAAGTAGAAACGTATAAATGAAACGTATAATTCATTAAATAAAGAAATAAAAATGAGGCGTTTTAAATATTTATTGTGTAAATAAATGAAAATATTTCTTCTAATTTTTATACAGATATCCTCCGTGTAACACGATATCTCTACAACATAATTTTGCTCTAACATGAACAGAGAATTGAGGTTTTGATGATATGACTAAAGAATATATTCAAGAATTATTAGTAGAAAAGAAGGTTAATGAAGCATTTGGTTGAAATTGGCATGTAAACTAAACTATATCACAGCTCAAAGAACAATAATACAGATGAGAATTTTGAAGTTTAAAACCCTAAAAAACATACAAAAGGCATAAATCTTAGCCGAGCAATTGGAATTTTTGAATGTGAATCCTTCCACTGAAAGAGGCGCTATGAAAAGAGAATTTCACAAATATTCAGCTCCATATTATGAAATTTACAAAGTTAAAGAAAAGTAAGCAAATAAAAATTACAGATGTTTTTAAAAAAGCCAAACATTAAAATTTTTAGACGCTTCAGACACACCAAGAGATGAAGACATTTTATAAGAAAACACTCGTATTTAATTACGTAGTGATGAAGAAGAAAACTATTTTGCACGTGCGTTATTCAACTTTAAATTGATATGCATATAATACGTTAGATTAATTATTATTATTTTTTAATAAAAAAAAATATTCCTTAGAGTTATAAAAATAGAGTAATGTATATTTGTAACTCTTTTAGTTTTTGTGACACTGTTTGTTGTATTACAATTCTTGGTTTTATCAATACGATTGTATGGCATTTTTTCTAATTGTAAGAATTCAGGGGAACCTACTCATACAGCTTTATTAAATCCAAATTGTAAAATATAGTAATCATTTTTAAACTTTATGATTTAGGTATTTCTTGGCACAAAATAGCATTCTTTTAAATCATAGTTAAAATAGATTTGAGTTATTGAGATCTAACTTTACCATCGTACGTGTTATACGGAGGATACATGTATCTTAAAAATTCATTAGAAAATTTTTTATTGGAACACCTAAATCATATACAATAGTTTAAAAATGATTACATGCTATAATTTGAATTTAATAGAGTTGCATGTAGATTCCTTTAGATTCCTATACGAAAAAGACGGTTCTGTTGAAGTAATTATGTAAGACGTTCAAACTGATTGCTAAAATGTCAAAGCTTTTCACAGCATTGTTCGTCATGTTTGAGATTCTTATATAATTATTTTAATAGTCCAATATACAGTTATTTCAGATCTGTATATATCTACTTAAGTTTAGATACTTTTGCAAAATTATTTTTTCTCTACAAAAATATTGTGTCATATGAACATTTTCATTGGATATTTATTTCTTGGTATATTTTATTGCTTCATCATCAAGTATGTGAGTATGATGCGTATGTATACGTGCGATCGATTAGACGGTCCTTAAATACTGATCGAATTTCTCGTGATCTCCATTTCTAATTCATTGGTTATATTATCATATCGTACTGATATCCGCTGATGTAGTTTCTGATGCGTGGGTAGTAACATTCAATATCTAACGGGAGACGCAAGGAATATCGGAGATCGAAGATGTCGAGTTCGTATGTGGTTTGTAATTGCATCGGATGCAGGATAGAGTTTTGGATTTGCCGTGAACAACTTTAAAAGAACGAGCGTTGCTTGTCCCGATGTGTGTGATGCATGTACTTTTTCGCGTTTCCTTCGATTCACAACACGCATATCCAATACGAATCTGCGATAAACAAACGCTTAGTAACGTTTCTTCCGATTTTGACCCTGACCTTTAACGCGTCCTTCTCAGGTTTCATTCTTTAAAGCATGACCTGATAATTTCTGGTAACATTCTCTATTCTTCCACTTTTCTTCTTTCTTCTTTGTGAAGTTCGCAATCGACAAAGAAGAAAATCTTGTATATTCTTTTTCGTATTTTCTAAATTTTATGAAAACGAATATCATGAATGTTTTCTCCTTCGTGTTTATGTATTGGTATGTTATATTGAAGCGTAAGTTCGGCTGTTAATAATGCACCTGTGTCGATTATTTACGACTTTTCTGTCGATAACCAGACAGGTATGGAATATGAAAGACTAAAAGCAAGAACACCGCTAGTGGAGGAGTTTACCTGGAAATGTCATAGCACATCGAGACACAAATCATCTATATTTGATAAATTCTTTATCAATTTCTTCAGTATACGATCATATCGCGTCGAAAATTTTATTTCCTTTCTTGGAACATTGTTAGTTGTGTTACTGCTCATTTTTTATTTATTTGTCGAAAAGAAAAGAACTATATTATCTTAAAATAAGAAATAAAATATTAAGACTTTTACAATTAAAACTATAAAAACGAATGTTCACAAGAACAAGTAAGAGTAAAAAAAACGCGGTATTTAGTATGTAATAATCATAGTAACAAATGTATTCACTTCTTTATTACATATATAAGAACTAATTGTATTATCCTAATTAAAAAAAAAATCATTTCAAGATATAAAAGTAATGTTCCTCTTTGCTTTTTTTTTATAGATGGTGACAAGGACAAAGAAGATATTCGTCGGGGGATTATCGGCGCCGACGACGCTGGAGGACGTCAAAAATTACTTCGAACAATTCGGTCCGGTAAGTACAAAATTTACGTCATTATTACATTTCCTCGCATTGTAAAATTAAAATTATTAAACTAAGCAGACTTTATTTAATAAAGTTATCGCGCAGATATGAAGAAAGACGAATAATCTTTTGATAAATTCCATTTTTAAGTAAATAACATTTTTAAATGTATCACGTTTATATAAGTAGCAACAGTTAAAGTCTAACAATAAAATTTTCCAAGAAATCTCTTTATGAGGTTTCACATATATTGTTTTTCAAATTTGGAAAATATTCCATTTGAAATTGATTGTGTATCAATATTATATTACATATCGCTACTTTCTGCTGGAGCAACGTGAGCAATATCATTGACTATCATTTCAGTTGGTTACATTATCGATGTATCGCACATCCTCACCATTTCCTCTCGTGTCGCAAAATCGAGCGGCACTGTCGACGACTGTGATTCATGGGATTTACATTGTTTAGTACTTTTGCATATTTTATTGGCCATTTCGCGCGGAACGCTATTGATTTTTGGACGAACAAGTGCACTCATTTCCATTTACACGACGTCAACGGCGCGCGACGACAATTCTGCCTCGCTGCAGTTCCCATGAATTTTGATCGTTATGGCTCATAACAGTGATATCGAGGTATCGCTATTTGGATTGTTTCAAAATGCGTGACATAATATTATTCACGTGCGAATGATTTCATTTGCTCTGGTTGCCTAACTTGTTCATGGATTACAGAAAGTCAATCTTTGTTAATCCAATTATTGTGAAATTGTATATTTAACTTTCGTTTTGTCTTTCATAAATTAAAGGTTTTTTAAACGTATATGTCGTATAAAATGATTTAAAAAATTAAAGCTACAGTATATTTGTAAAGTATTTTTGTTTTAAGGTATTTAATTCAATTAAGAAAAAATTGACTAAATTTATCGAATTTGTCGTATCTTTTTTTAATATTTTTTTGAGTACTTATTTTATATAAACTAATTTCTTGATAATCAATGTCAAAATATGTCAATCAATATCATAAATATTTCGATAATAGTGAAACAATTCGATATCGCGTGAAAAGTTTATGTAAAGATTTACAATATTGGTTAATATTCTGAAAACTGAAGACATTCTTATAGAGAACATTCTTACAGATCTACTTAGAATGTAGGCCGTTCTCAGAGAAATTTTGAATGACAGATTCTATGATTAGAAACTGAGACGAACCTCTCTCTCTCTCTCTCTCTCTCTCTCTCTCTCTCTCTCTCTAAAACAAGAATTTCGGTTGATTAGTTTTTATTGGTCCCTTTGAAAAAATTTTAAAACGTATTATTATGCGGATTTCTCCATCTCGGTAATGATGATTCATCGAATTTGGAGAGGCGGCAAATAGAATACATACGCGATTTTCGATTCCAATTCCGGCGCGATTGCTCTAAATGGCTTGTCATAAGGAAGGAATAATAAATGATTCTAATAAGCAGAATAGAATAGTAGTTAATAAGTTGGAAATTTTCGGTTATCTCATTTTCGAGCTAAAACCGTATCATAAAATTAATATAATCGTTATAGCTCTAAAATAATTATTATCATTTTAACCGTTTTGGTTAAATAGTGAGAATTATTTTCGACAAGCTAATTATTTTACTAATATGTCTTTATTGTTGTTCTCTTAGTAATATATATTCATAATTTATAAAGAGACAATAGAAGTTTAAAAAAATGTTTTTCCTCAATATCTATAAATAAGTTCTTACAATATGTAGTATTATATAGTTAAATTAGAAAAGTGAAAATGATAAATATGATAGTAGAAATAATTATCAAATACAATCATTTTTTGAGTGTGTTTAAATTGCAAATACTATAATAGCAAACAGATTTTACTGTTACTTTGATACTTCGATCTATAATCATAATTTAGATTACTTTAATACAATAAAAACGAGTATGAAGGAATCACGATAATGTCTTTCCATTACGGTGAATCAAATTCCTTGTCACGGTCAGATGTGCATACTGCGCGGAACACTAAAGTCTGCAATGGAGCAATCGTCTACAGAGAGAACCGATGCCGCTTATCATCGACGACGGAGGGATCGAGATAGGAGGGAAATTCGGCATCGCCGAATGGTCGCATAATAAGACGGTTCCGGGTCGTCCGTTGCAGATGCAGCCGGCGGATATAGAAATTTATTGGAAAACTTGGTCGATCCCAGCCGGCAGGGAATATATGTCCGGCTCTCAGGTGACACGACGTGGTTCCGAAGGATCGAGGGTAGTGGAGTAGGGTCGACGGATGAAAGAAGAGGGAAAAGAAAAGGAAGTCGGGCGCACGACACATTTGTTCGCGACTCGTGGCACGAGCTAGAAGCCTAGAAATGGAGTTGAGATATCAGAGTTCGCTGCTATCTCTATCTTGAACCTACCCCTAATTCTACCCCCTTTTACTCTCTCCCTTTCTTTTCTTGCTTCGTCTCTCTCTCGTTCTCTACCGAAAGTCCTCCATTCGGCTTTGAATGCAGAGTTTCCGGCTCGTAGCGGCTGGACTTCTCCGTTCTATGTGTGTGACCCACATTTGAGATACCATCGCATCGGGCGTGACGCGCGCACTGGTGGACGTACATGACGCCATTTCGGAATTCGACTCCTACGTACGGTGCACATACGTGGGCATACACAAGTCCGTGTCCACGCCCACGTGCATCCTAACGATGAGCGTACATGATCGTGCTGTGCGCACACTTGGACGACTTTCGTAGGCCGAACAAAAGTGAAGGACGGAAATTTAGAACAGCACCATTTGCAAAGTATGATCAGAGAGTGTGTTTTCTCACGTACGGCAAAGTACAGGCTAACTATTTTATTACTGTTTTACCAAGTTTTCGCATTTGATAATGCTTGATGATGTACGCACGTGCTCGTATCATATCACGCGAAAAATTACCATTTGCGTGTTTCATAAATTTAATAATGGTTTAAAAAGCTTCTGTTTTCGGTATACCATTGTCGACGATCTAGGGTGAGTTTGCGACCGTGGGTCTGTAAAACATATTCGTGCTGGAACGTAAACACACAAGTGTGAGGTGAGTCCTGCCGTAATTTCTATCGCGCGTCGCGTCGGTCTCATCGAGTCAGTTCAATGCTCCATCTCACCAATATCTATCTGATTTCACTTTTGCTCCGTGAAAGCACGAGAGAGAAGAAGGAATGCTAAAACGGGAGAGTCCTGTCGACGAAATATCTGGACCGCGAGGTAACTGATAAAGCTAATAGCATTACCGGGAAATGCGTTACACTCATTCGTTCTGGCTTATGAAACTTTTTAGGAACTACTATTTTATTTTAACACTCATACAACGTATTCATTGTTGAGAGATCCGTGTATATTTTTTACATTCTTATTTATTAATTCTATTTTAAATAAATTGTTCAAATAATTTAACACTTTTTTACACGTTCAGTGAGTTTTTGATATCTCTTGATTAACTTAAAGCCTTAATTTCATTAAATTATATTCGGAAACGTTATCCGCGAAAATAAACCTGCCATTCAATATCTTTTATTTTAAAAATAGTGATTTTTTAATAATATATAAAATAATATATAAAATTAAAGATGTATTTTACGCTTATTTTATAACCAAATAAAAAAGTTATGTATATTTCTAAATATATTATACGTGAAAATAATACAAAAAGATTGGCGGTGATTTAGAATCTAGATCACAAATTATTTTAATAAGAAATAGATATGTTCTTAAATTATAATTAAGATAAAAAAAAAGGAAATTTTTATGTAAACTATAAAATTATTAAATATAAATATTAATCTTATTGAATTATTTCATGTATATAACATTTTTATACGGAAAATATGAATTTCGAATTCCAGTTATTTTTTGCAGAAATTGTACACCTGATACATCCTTAAATATGCAAGGTTTTTAGAAGTTTTCATTCTAATGTTAGATAATATAGAAATTTGAATAAGTAAAATCAATCTTAACAACAACAAAGCAATTAGACTATTTGCATCTAAGAAGATTGTTTGACAGTTTGACTTTTATCGCTCTAATTTTTGTTCATTTAACATCTTCACAGCCTTAACATAGATTTTATTCTAAGGCAAGTTTAACTAAATAAAAGGTTTCTTCGCTATTATAGACTAGTTTACGCAAGCTAGTATATTAACAAATATTTACGTGACAGGAACTCGCTGTCGTCATTAGAATTGAGAAAGAGTCGAGTATAATAGTTAGCGTGAATGCAAATCTCGGTCCAATATACATAAATTGGCGACGAGCCCTGCCTTCCTCCGTCCCTTGTCCAAGGCCGGTCGCGTATCGCAGACCGCCGCCAGCACGCGATTTAAAACTTAGATGAGGCCGTCCGGCGACGTTACCTGAAAAATGAATGGATCCCCGAAGAGAGCGAGAGCTTAATTGCGCTCGCTCCCCACCTCCCCCTCCTTCTCGTTTCTTCTTCCTTCATCGGCAGCCGAAGAGCCGGAAACGAGGGTAGATGAAGCGGTAAGAAGGTAAGGGAGAGGGCACTGCGCGGTGGTTACCGATAGAAGGCCAGACCTCTCTTTGGCGCTGTACTTAACGGTCGACTTGAAATTAAGAAATTAAGAATTAATATGAATCTTGGAACCGGTCGGGCTTGTCTCTTTCCGCTGGTAAGGAACGCCGCATTTAATTCTCACGCCAAGGGACGAATTTTCCGCGGGAACGACCGTTCATTGATCCGCCGCCGATGAAGTTTGCTCGTTGAGATATCGAGGAGTGCCCGATAATCACTGCACCCTTGTGATCGCGAATGACAGTCCTGAGAGCTCTTTGATAGCTATTCTATTTTGAAAGCGTAAAATAATGTGCTTTTCTAGTTGTTTGTCACGTTAACTTTATCATTTTAATAAAATTAGACGTAGTTATATTAAGCATCGAAAGCTTTCGCGAATTAAAGTCAACGCGACCTCTTTTTATATGCTTGCGTAATAGAATTCAAAAGTAATTGT